TTCAAGTGTTTGCTTATTTTTTGGAGTCATTCTCCAGAGGACGCCTGTCTTTCAGGAAGAACAGAGGGAAAAAATATATATATAGGAGAGTAAAAAACAACTAACACTAAACTACCATGCATGGGAAGTTAATCCCCCCCTAAATAATAAAATGAAAATAAAACCAGCTGAAACAACATTGTGATTTTAGTTCCCGGACAGCTTCTCGAAATGATGCCACACATCAGCAGCATATAGTCACTACAAGTGTCCAACCTCTTCAGTATTGCCCACAGTTTCCTACAGTTTATACACCAGATATTACCAATGTTGCAAAAAGAAACCTTTGGGGGGAAAGATCTAAACAGATCAAAGGGTGAGCTGAACTTAAACTCTGATCAGATAACTTTGTCTCTAGAGATAATTGACAGTATTTCAGAGCTTGTCAGTGGATATCTGTGGTTTCTAAAAAGATAATCAAAAGCTTGTTTGTTAGTTTACAGTTGAATGTTGGCAAATGCAGTCCCTCTTTAGTTCTCACCCCAACCGGTCGCAGCAGATGGCCCCGCCCCTCCCTGAGCCTGGTTCTGCCGGAGGTTTCTTCCTGTTAAAAGGGAGTTTTTCCTTCCCACTGTCGCCAAAGTGCTTTTTCATAGGGGGTCATGTGATTGTTGGGTTTTTCTCTGTATGTATTATTGTAGGGTCTACCTTCCAATATAAAGCGCTTTGAGCTGACTGTTGTTGTAATTTAGTGCTATATAAATAAAATTGAATTGAACTGAATTCAACCACAGCCTGGCCAAAAGGACCACAAGCAGACTGCAAACAAGACAGCTTAAGGTACCAAAAACCTTCACTAACCCCGCTGCTAAGGTCTTCCTCAGGAAGACTTGCATCGAGCATTTAATAGCTAGACACGTAAAGATCCATGAAGTGTACACTGAGAAAAGAACATGGCAGTGTTTTTGTTTTCTGAAATATTTAATTTATACTCAAAAATATGCAATCATATTTTCATAACAGGTTACTTTGGACAGAGAAACACTGAGCGGTTCACGGAGTTCAACAACAGATGCATCTTCCTGCTCAACGAGCTGAACATTATAACCTTCTCGAAAGCAGGATTTATTGCTTCCTTCATGACAGACTGCTGTATTAGCTTCGCTGGCTTTAGCAGGTAAAGTGAGCGTGTCTGTCAGACTTCTTTCAGCTAATTCACCAACAAAAGCAGTGGTGCCAATTTGTCAGCCATAATCCAATATCAGCACATATCAGCAGCATTTATTAGAAATATTGGCCGGGGGATTAGATTTCATCCTGAAGGGGGGGAAAAAAGCCTTTTATGATTTAGTCAGCGTGGATCTCTATGTTTGTAAAAAGCTGAAATAAAATCTGTTAGATCAAACTCCTACAAATGCTGCAGCTTGCACCATTACGGTGATCCATGTCAGTGAATGGCAGATCATTGTCTAAACACTGGAAGCGCAGTCAGTCACTAAGATGAGATTTCCTGCTGTCATGGTGAGCACTGCTTTGTTGCTTCTTTGCTTTTTATGTCCAAACAGAGAAAGTTTCTCCACACTTATACTCCATCTCTTTTGCTCCTTAGAAAATAAAAATTCTTCTTTGGGAGACTTTTACTTTGGAGGAGTGTCATGTGCTCCAATGACTTCCCAATTTTTGGAGGAAGACAAAAGCACCAAGGAGGCTCCGGGAAAAGGACAACAGCTGCTGCTGGCATGAAGAATAAATGTATACACACATATAAACTTAGAACAGCTGAGTGTACAAAAACACATAATGTGTGTAAGTATGAATTACAGTCAAGAGCATGTGGGCGTTTTGTTGGCATACTGCATATAACAAGTATGTTTTCTGAAATAAACTCATATAATATCTTAATATGCGTTCTCTACTGGCTGATTGCTTGGTTGATTGATACTGGATTATTACAGCTATATGTTGTCCATATTTCTCCAATATGAAAATCTGGGAAACATGCCTAATTTAGAAATGATGACAAAACAGAGTTTGGCTAGTGGGGAAGTTCAGCTAGGGCTGTGCGATATGACCAAAATCTCATATCCCGATATAAGAATTCTATCGTCCGATAACGATATAAATCACAAAAATGTAACA